CCAAGGAAAAAAGAGGGTGGCCCTTTTTTGGGGGGGGGGGGGGCAGCAAAATGCAGAGGTGTAACAGGTCTCTTGGCTAGTCTGGGCAAGCACTGAAAGTGCCCTGGCACATGGGGCAACATGGGGTGACACAGCCAACAACAAAGTACCAGAGGGCTAAAGGAGGACACCCCAACATCTCTGTTCCTGCACACCCCCACAGACAGCACCTGCAGGTCATCCACCCTTGAGGGGAGGGATGACAAACAGAAAATGGCTCTGCTGATGCTGGGCAGCTCTTTTGGCAGCCTGTCTCCATGGGCAAATGCCACAGCCCACACCCCAGAGCTCCCAGGACCAGATGCTTCACAGTTCCCCATCCCTTGGGATGCCACAGCACAACAGCTTCCAGGTGCTCATCACTGACAAATCTGTTCCCTCTCTGCCAAGCAGTTCTGAAGCTCCCTTGAGCTCTGTGCAAGCAAGCAGGGCCAGGAAAACCAGCAGCCCCCATCACGCACCTCCCAAGGGAAAGTCACTGGCTTGAGCACAACCACATTATTAGCCACTGGAGAATCTGCACAGGTGAGCACTGCACGAAACGACATTTCCCCCGCTCACGGAAAAAGTGAAGCTTGGTCTACATGTTTAAAATCTGTCTCAATTCCCTACCCTTAGGGCCATCTCCATCCACAGCACCGGGCAAAGCTCCGGCAGTCTCTGCCGACCCCGGGCACAGCGCGAGGCTGTCCCAGGGAGCACCGCTGCCCAGGCACCACCCTGGGGTTCAGAGCAGCTCAACGCCCACACAACAAGCAAGGAAAAGGCATTTTAAAAAGAGGTCTGAGCCCTCATCTCATTTGCAAGAGCAAACATAGCACAGTCTTATGAAATGGATACGGTGCAAAGCTCAGCACGGCTGTGCCGTGGAGTTTACGGTGAAGCCGCTGAGAAGAGCTGCTGACCCCCATTAGATGGGCTGGAGCAGAGCAGCGGGGAGAGCTCTGCTGCCAGAGGGGCAAAGGCTGCTGCAGGGTTGTTTTTCCCCAGCCGCCCTTTGAACAGGGAACCCAGCAGGAAGTTTATCACTTTTGCAAACTGGCAAAATACCAAGGGATATTAACTATTAACAACAGCAGAGGTTGCCTGAGCTGATATATTATCTCCTAATTTGTATTAATTTTTTTTTAATAAGTAAAAAGCCCTGAGCAAACTGCAGAGGGATCAGAGAAGTCCCTAACCCCATCCTCCCCTCCCCACCCAGCTGGTCTTTTTTTTTGCTCTGCCAGGCAAGATCTGCCCAGTTGCTGAGGAAAATAATCTCTCCCAATTCCTGAGGTTGACCTTGCAGCACCAGGGATCGAGGTCCCCTCTGCTCCAAAGAAACACCTTTTCCCACACCCTGAGCCACACAAATGCAGCCCAAACCCTTGGTCTGGCCCCACCAGCTTCACCACAGGGCTGGAATCTCTGCTCCAAGGGGAGCAGAGAAAGGTTTGAGGCAGAGCAACTACCCTTCACATCTTCACTCCCTAACAAACACCCAAGAGAGGCTCTAACTCACCTCCTCACCATACATTTATAACATTGAAGATCCCTCACCCAGCCCAGGTTTAGGCTCAGCTCATCTGTCTCCCCCCACTGGCTCCCAGAAATATATATACACACCTTTATTTCCTATACACCTGGTAACATGAGGTCAACAGGCTGATGTTACCTCAGAGAAGATACCAGGGATGGAGGCACAGGGGTCCCAAAGTCAGGAAACTCCATCAACACATTATGCAACAGCTATTGAGCAGCACACTAATTAATTATTGAGGAACAGCAGCCTTTTGGTAAATAGCAATTACTGTATGTTTGACTGAAGCAAACACTGAAATGTAAGTCAGCCTGCAACTCAAACCAGAGGACAGCTGACCATCTCAAACTCCCCAACGAGCCTCCTCACAGGGACACTGGGGATACAGGACAACCATCACCAGCATTTTTATTTTTCCTCCAGCACACCAGAGCCCACAAAGCACTAGCTCCAATTAACCTTAATTAAAACAGAGAGCAGCTCAAGCACACTGCCTCCCTATCTTTTGCTTCTTCAATGCTCACACCAGAGCAGCTCAGCACTGTTCCCTACAACCAGTTTGGCTCTCGCAGACCAGTTCTCCTGCCCAGTCCCACACACCGGCCCCAGCCTCCCCCCAGCCGCCGCCACGGGGGGGCGGGGAAACACACAGACAGACATCTCCCCTCCGCACCCACCTCTTCGGCACCGGCTTCTTCCTCTTCCTCCCGGCGTACATCCCGCCGGCAGCGCCGAGCACCGGGCACGAACAGCGGGCGGATAGCCGCACCCGGAGGCGGGGTTTAAACAGGATGGCGGCGGGGCGGCCCCGGCCCCTTCCC